AATTATAATAATAATAATAATTATTATTATTACTATTATTATTATTATTATTTGACTTTCATTATTATCATGGTTGTTATTATCATTATTATTGCATATATTAATGGTACTATTAATATCATCATTATCATTGTTGATGTTGATGTCGTTGTTATTTTTATAATATTATTATCATTATTACTATTATTACTATTATCATCATTCTATCACCATCATCATCACCATCATTATTATTATGATCATCATCATAACTACTACTATTATTATTGTCGTTGTTGTTATTATTATTATTATCATTATCATTATTATTTTCATCATCATCATAGCATCCTCATCATCATTGTATTACTATCATTATCATCATTTTCATCATTTCCATAAGAATTATTACTATAAGTATAATTGTTAAGCTTATCATCGTTATCATTTTTTGTTATCATTATTATCACTGATATTATTGGTACTATTATCGTTATTATTTCTATTACCTATCATTATCATCATCATGATTAATACTATTATTATAATTATCATCATTATTACTGTTATTAATATCAACCTTATTATTATTACTATTATTATAATTATCATTATTATTATTATTATTATTATTATTATTATTATTAATATTATTGTTGTTGTTGTTGTTGTTGTTGTTGTTATTGTTATTATCATTATTACTAGAATGATCATTATGATGATTGTTATTATCATTACTATTATCTTTATTAATACTAATATTATCATTATCATTATCATGGTTAATATTGTTACCATTTCTATCATTATCATCATTGATAACATTATTGTTAATATTGTTACTATTATTTTATCATTATTATCACTACTATCATCATCGTCGTCTTCATATTACAATTGTTATTGCCATGATTAATTATATTGTGTTTCTATAATAATTGTTATTATTGTTATCGTCATCACTATTATCAATTTTATCCTTGGCATTTCTATTATAAATCTTTTCATTATTATTATCATTATTCTTATTGGCATTTTTTTTTCTATTAATATCATCATCATTATATCATAATTACTTTCATCATTGTCATTATAATTTACAGTATTGATACCATTATCATTATCTTTATCAGTATTTTCATTATGACTATTATCTTTGTTTAATATCATAATCAATATAAATATAAATATTTCCATTATGATTTTCATTATCATTATTACTTTCATTATCATCATAAACATTATTATTATTACTATTAGTATTATCATTATCATAATCAGCGTAAACATTATTATTATCATTAACATTATTTGTTATTGCTATCCTTATCATCATCTTCATAACTTCTGTTATCATGATAAGTTATCACTGTTATGATTATTTATATTATTTTCATTATTATCCTTATCACTATTATCATCTACATTGCTGTTATTATTATCATCAATATTATCATTATTGTTGTTGCTGCTATCATTTTGTGTATAATGAAATTATTGATTATTAATATTAACATAATTATCATTTTCCTCATAACTTATTCATGTCTCTAATATTATCTTTATCATTATTACTCTCATTATTATCATCCCTATAATTATCATATCATTATTATCATCATTATCATTATTATTGTTATGTTCACTATTATAACTTTCATTATCATTACCAATTATCATCCTTATTTCTCTTATTATTATTGCTGTCGTTGCTGTTGTCGTTGTTGTTGTCATTATCATTATTATTATTGATTGTTATTATGATGATAATGATAATTATTATGATGATAATGATAATTATTATGAATATTATTATCATAATTATCTTTATTACTATTATTGTTGTTATCAAGATTGCTCTTGTTGTTATCACTGTTATTATTATCATAATTATTAACATAATCATTATTATCAGTACCGTTAGCATTATTATTACTATTATAGCTAATGTTATCATTATTAACAGGATTATTATAATTGTTGTTGTTATCATTATCATCATTATTATTATCATTACAATTATTATTATCATTATTACTATTGCTATTGCTTTTTTCATTGTGATTGCTATCATCATCATTATTATTGTTAATATCTTTATCGTTAGTACCTTTATCATTGTTGTTATTATCAATATGATAAAGATTAATGTTATTATCATCAGTATTATCGTTGTCAAAATTTCATCCTTATCATTGTCATAAACATTATTCTTAGTAGCATTAATGTTATCCTTATAGTTGGTGCAATTAATAGCCTTTTTCTTTATATTTTCTTCTTTCTTCCTTTTCTTCAATCCCTCGCTATTTCACCTTGGCTTTAATATTTCTTGATACATTAGTATATTTACTCACAGTTGCTATTAACAGCCATAATTATGTTTATCAATTACCTTAGAATATGTTCACGTATGCTCATTAATTTGATGATAAATTTCCTTGTATTTTCCCCTCGAATGCTGTAGTTACTTCAGCGCTCTGTAGATGGCGCTGAACAAGCAGAACAAGTCGAGGTTTTCAATGACAATGTATTTTTTATTTAGTTTAGTCCTTTTTTTACCGCCCTGGCTAACTGTACAGACGTCAGTTAATTTTGATACATATGGAACATGATCATAGCATTATGTAATAGTATTTCATTGAAAAATTAGGCTATAACAGTATTATGATCCTAAGTAAGTTACGAGAAAAGAATGATTACATTAAATCTACCGCGCCGGCATACAACTAGGAGAGACCTTGTTATATTTCAAAATTTGGTAATATTTTTTTTCTACTACATTCCACATTTAGGATACAACATAAGTATACTTTTCATGTCATGAGAGATGATATGAAATACATAGATCTGCGCACTTCATACTAAGAGGTTGCAGGTAATTGTAAGTTTATGAGTTCCAACCGTAGATTTTAGTTCTCTAGGGAGTCTTGCAGGCACCCCAGAGTACTGCTAAAGACACTCTGTGGTTCCGCTATCTATTATTAGCGTTATATCGGGCCTTTCCTTTGTCAGGTTATCGTAAATCTCTTTTTTTCTTTGTCAGTTCATTACAGATTCTTCTCTATCCAGTTACTGCAGTTTTTTTTCTTTTTCTTTTTAATTCTTCATAATACTTTCTCTCCTTTATCAAGTTATTTTAAAGTCTACTGACCTCTTCCGTGCTTTTTCGGAATGTATTAACCACCAGAATCCTTCTCATCCAAACGAGAGAATCCGAATGGAAGAACTCCTTTCACCTGAACAAGGAAATCCTCTAAACAAGAGAATCATCCTTAATTGTCCATGAGAGTCACCCCCCCCCCATCCCTTAAAAACGAATCCCACTTTCCACAAAACAAAATTCTCTTAACTACGAGAATCCTCTTCATCCTACTACTGAATCCTCCTCCTCGTCGAAACAAGCGAGTCCTCTTCATTCAGACAAGAAAATCAGTTTCTTCCAAAATTCTTCTCCTCTAAATCAAGAGAATAGTTCTCATTCAAGCAAGGGAATTTGCCTCCTTTAAAAAGATAATCAATTCCATCTAAACAACCAAATCATTTAAAACAAAGGAAACAATTTCACCAAACAAGTCCTATCCAATCAAGGAATTCCTCTTATCCAAACAAGGTAATCAATCTCCTCTAAAGATAACCAATTCCATCCAAACAACATAGTCCTCTAAAACAAAGGAATCAGTCTCATCCAAACAAGAAAAGAAAACAAGGTAAATGCCATAAACTTCTTGAAAATTTCAACTAATACCATTCGCTTGTTTTGGGAATCAGGAATGAGGTAGTTGGGGAGAAGGAAGAGGTTGTTAGAGGATGGGGAGGAGGTTGGGGTTGGCGAATGGAAGGGAGGGGCTAAGGGAAGGGAAGGGAGGGGGTAGGGAAGAATAAGGGCAGGTGGTGGGGAAGGTTGGGGTAGGGGAGGGATGGGGTGTAGGAGAGGGTTGGGGTTGAGCGAGGATTGGGGTTGGGAGAAGGGTAGGGGAAGATTGAGGTTGGCTTTTAGGGGTAGGGGAGGAGTGAGGTAGGGGATGGTTGGGGTAGGCGAGGTTTGGGGTTGGGGAGGTAGGGAAGGGTGTAGGAGGGGTAGGGAGGGTTGGGGTGGGCGAGGTTTGGGGCTGGGAGAAGGGTAGGGGAAGATTGGGGTAGGCTTTTAGGGTAGGGGAGGGTTGGGGTAGGCAGGGATTTAGGGCTGGAAGAAGGGTAGAGGAAGATTGGGGTAGGCAAGGATTAGGGCTGGAAGAAGGGTAGGGGAAGATTGGGGTAGGCTTTTAGGGGTAGGGGAGGGTTAGGCAGGGGAGGGTTGGGGTAGGCAGGGATTAGGGCTGGAAGAAGGGTAGGGGAAGATTGGAGGCTTAGGGGTAGGGAGGGGTTAGCAGGGCAGGTTGGTAGGCAGGGATTAGGGCTGGAAGGGTAGGGGAAGATTGGGGTAGGCTTTTAGGTAGGGTTGGGGTAGGGATTAGGCTGTAAGAAGGGTAGGGGAGATTGGGTAGGCTTTTAGGGGGGAGGGAGGTAGGGGAGGGTTGGGGTAGGCAGGGATTAGGGCTGGAAGAAGGGTAGGGAAGATTGGGTAGGCTTTTAGGGGTAGGGGAGGGGTGGGTAGGGGAGGGTTGGGGCTGGGAGAAGGGTAGGGAAGATTAGGGGGTAGGCTTTTAGGGGTAGGGGAGGGGAGGAGGGGAGGTTGGGGTGGGCAGGGATTAGGGCTGGAAGAAGGGTAGGGGAAGATTGGGGTAGGCTTTTAGGGGTAGGGGAGGGGGTGGGGAGGTTGGGGCTAGAAGGATTTAGGGTAGGCAGGGTTAGGGGAGGGTTGGGGTGGGCAGCGATTAGGGCTGGAAGAAGGGTAGGGGAAGATTGGGGTAGGCTTTTAGGGGTAGGGGAGGGTTGGGGTGGGCGAGGTTTGGGCTGGGAGAAGGATAGGGGAAGATTGGGTAGGCTTTTGGGGGTAGGGAGGGTGAGGGAGGGGGTCGCGGCGTGCCTGTGACTCGGCCTCTAATGACACTACGCAAGTCAGTGTATCTCCAACCCTCGTGCCGATAGGGTCACGCCGCTCCGAGCTCCGCGCGCCGCTCCCATGCGTTCGCTCTCTGGCCTTGTGTGATCAACTTGTTTTCCCCCGAGCTGAGCAAAATTCTTTTAGTCATTTCTCGTTGCGTGTTGTGGTTATCGGTATCTTTTTGTCGTTGTGCTTGTTGAGAAGTGTGAGTTTAGTTTGAGAAAGTTTTGAGGGAGATTCATGGTTTGCGAAAGTTGATGGGTCGGTGAAGCTGGAAGCCCAACACTGCGAGCGAGTGGCCGGATTTCCCGCTGGTGAAGGTGTGTCGCCATGTAGAGGCCGGAATCATGTGGACATTATGATGAATGTCGCGTAAACTGCCCAACCTCTGGATTCGCGAGAACAGTTTGTTTGACGGCGCCGAAGGAGGCGGCGAAGGAGCAGCCGAAGGAGCCATGAGGCGCGCCGGCGAGTCCCCGGTCCGGGTCCTGGAGACCAACATCGACTTCCCGCTGTCCGTGAACGGCGACGTGAACAAGGGCCCGAACGGCAACAAGCGCGGCTCGCTGCACGACCACCACCACCACCACCTGCACCACGACCACCACGACGCCGAGGCGGCGGCCGCCACCGACACCATGCTGTCGCACCACAAGTACCCGCTGCCCAACGACGACGACGACGAGGAGCCGCGCCCGCCCGCGGGCAAGCTCGGCAAGGTGGCCAGCAAGCACGGCCTCACCAAGAAGGGCCTCACGCTGCTGCTCATCACGCTGGGCGTGTGCCTGCTCCTCCTGCTGGCGCTGCTGGTGATGGCGGCGATGTGGCCGAGGGAGCAGGAGGAGCCCAAGATGGAGATCTGCCTCACGCCGGACTGCCTCCGCGCGTCTGCTCAGGTAAGGCCCCGGCGAGGCCGTCGGGCAGGCCCTTCGGCGGATTCGGATTTCAGGCAACGGAGGCGTCCGGTTTCAGACGCTGGAACCGTACGGGAAGCTGGGATGCGGGTGGCGGGCGGTCTGCCCTGAGTGAAAGGAGCTTAACACGCGCCTTGAAGATACGGGCGTCTTCGTAAATGAAATGCCATAAGAAATCACGGCGCACACACACACTCACATACTCTCAGACATACACTCATGTATATATTATATATATATATATATATATATATATATATATATATATATATATATATATATATGTATGTATGTATGTATGTATGGACCTATTAGCTTTAAATTCCATTACAGTTATTTTTGTTATATTCTTCATAATTTATCTATTATATTTACAATTATCATTATTATTGTTATGATTATTTTTAGTATTATCATTCTTATCGCCATTACTACCATCATCTTTATCATCATCACCATCACGATCATCATCATCATCACCATCATCATTATCACCATAATCATCACCATTAACACCACCACCATCATTATCATCATCATCATCATCAAAATCATCCTCATCATCATCATCACCTTTCTCACCACAAATCATTCTCACTTCTGCCATATGATAACGATAGCAATATGATTACAATCACAATTATTTTAACTCTCACCAACATTTCGTCATCTCCCTCATCTCCCTCCCTCGTCATAATCATCAGCTTCTTCACCACCAACGCTGATAAGATCACCATCATCACTATCGTTCCATCATCACCACTCGTTATTATCACCATCACTCCAATAGAACCTATGACCTTGATAATAATGATATTGATGATAATCTTGATGATGATATGTTATTAGTAGCAATCATGTTGATGATAATGATGTTAATGATGATAATAATAGTAATAATGATAGTAATAATGATAACAATGGTAATAATAGCAGTTATTACCTTTTTTAGTGATAATGATAACACTAACAACAAAAACAACAAAAATGATAATAATGATAATAATAATAATTTTTATAATCACGATATTAATAATAATGATGATAATAATGATAATTATGATAATAATGATAATGATGATAATAATGATAGTGATGATAATAGTAATGATAATGATAATAACATCAGCAATAATGATTATGATAATAATGAGGATAATAATGAAAATGATAATAATGTCAGTAGTAGTAGAATTATTAACAACAACAACGATAAAAACAATGATAATGATAATGATATTAACAATAATGATATTGATGATGATAATGATAGTAGTATTAGTAACAACAACAACTGCAACAATAATAGTAATATTAATGAATTTGATGATCAAAAGTCGCTATACAAGCAATGTTCTTGCATGAAAACATATACCATGGACAGTTTTCTTTTGTTCTCTCTGTTATCAGTTTATCGATTTGAAGTTCATGATCTATTGTTTCCTTGCAACATAACCCGCGTGATAACTGGTATGCAGTAGGCGCACATAGTGGCAATTGTAAGGGAAATAAAATGCATCTATATTTTCCTAATTATTATGATTATTTTTTTTCTTTTTTTTTACATGATGGTCCCACTTTGTTTTTGTTTACTTGTTGTTGTTTTTTTTCTTTTCTTATTAGTATTTCTTCTTCTTAATACTACTACTACTACTACTACTACTACTAATTATTATTATTATTATTATTATTTTAAGGAATTATCTATATCATCATTATCATTATCACTATTATTATTATCATTACTATTATCATTGTTGTCATTATTGTTTTATCTTTATCACTGCTATTTAGATTACAATTATTATTATTGTGTTATCATTATAATTATCATGGTTATTATTACTTTTATTGTTATAATAACTATTAATGTTACTAATTTTTAAATTATATTTATTATTATTATTATTATTATTTTTATTACTTTTATTGTTATAATCATTATTAATGTTACTATTTTTTATTATATTATATTATTATTATTATTATTATTATTATTATTATTATTATTATTATTATTGTTATCATTATTATTACCAGTATTATTATTATCATTATTGTTATTATCATTATCATTATTATTATAATTATTATCATTATTATTAATAATGTCATTATTGTTATTATCATTATTATTATTATCATTATTATTATTATTATTATTATTATTATTATTATTATTATTATTATTATTATTATTATTATTATTATTATTATTATTATTATTATTATTATCGATTATTATTATTATTATTATTATTATTGATTATTATATTATTATTATTATTATATATATTATTATTATTATTATTATATTATCATTATTATTTTAATATTATTATTATTATTATCATCAATCCACTATTATCATTATCATTATTGTTATTGTTATCCATTTTCATAAGATCATAAAATCACAGTAAATTCAATTCTTATCATGCATATTCATTTATCAATTTCTTATTTCATCTCATACAATAATATTATTCTACTAATATTATTAAACTATTATTATTATTATTATTATTGTCATTACTCATTATTATTATTGTTTTATTACATTATCTTATTATTATTATTCATTATATTCTTCATATATTGTTTTTCATTATAATTTCATGCTTTATGATTTTATTCAGCCTTATTATTAAATGATTATTGTTTTTACGACTATACATCATTTCTATTAGTTTGTTATTATCATTGTAAGTTATTACAGCTCATTTAGTTATTATTATTTTGTTTTATATATTATTGATTATTATTGCTCGCTTTTTATTATTTTTACCATCATTGTTATTGTTTATTGTATTTATTATTACTCACCACATTCACTATTCATCACTCTGTTTATATCTGAATATTATTACTATTATTATTATCATCACAGAATCATCATCATACACATCATCATACATCATCATCACTCATCATACATATTCACCATATCATCATCATCATTAACTACTCCTATACTACTACGCTTATTATATCAGTCCCATGTATTATTTTGAACTAACTAACACACACACACACACACACACACACACACATATATATATATATATATATATATAATATATATCTATCTTATACTATAAAAAATATTCTGCACATACGATGATATAAATTACATAATTTATATTTAAATATATTATTAATAAATTACCAGAGACAAATCTCAATAAAGTAAATTATTTTATTTATTTATTTAATACTGATACATTATGACTATACACAGTTTTTAATTATTATTATTATTATATAATTATTTTATAATTATATTATAAATATATATTTAATATGTGTGCAACAATTCCGTAATAATATTATACATATATAATTATTATATGATTACACCATATATAATATATATATATATATATATATGTATATAATACCTTTAAATCTCATTAATTGTCAATCAATTACTAATATTGCGCATATATTATAATATACATTTATAAAATTATACTAGTATACAATTATCAATTATATATTATATTAATATATATAATACCTAGTTAATTATGTTCACATATAAATATTATTATAATAATATTTAAAATATGTAAATATTATAATATGGAGAATTGTAGATGTTATTATATTAATTATATATATATATTATATCTATAATATATTATTTATAATTATATATTTTGTATTTAATAATATATTATATATATCATTTGATATATTAAATTTATATATATATATATATAAATTATTAATATATTTATATAATATATTAATATTATATAATTTATATGAGATACTATAATGTGTAATTCATGTACTGAAGGCACACCCCACACATATACATTATATTTAAAAAGTGTGCTCGCGCTGATCTCCGTGTCGACGTGCGTGTGTGTGTAGTGTGTGTAAGTGTTGTGTGTGATGTGTGTGTGGTGTGTGTGTGTTGTGGTGTGTGTGGTGTGTGTTGTGTGTGTGTGTGTGGTGTGGTGTGTCGTGCTATGTGGTGTGTGGTTGTAAGATTTGGCGTGGTGTGTAGTTCGTAGTGTTGTGCTGTGTGTGTGGTTGATGGAGTGTCGAACAAAAATTACCACAAAAGTTTACTAGCCAACAGAAAACATCGAAGAGGCCGGCACCTCAAAACTTCATCATTAAAGTACATATTCCCCTTTCTAACGCGAATTTCCAGATGATTATAACATGATTAATAAATTAAGTGGGGGGTATCCATTAGAATGGTTGAGAACTCTAGAGTCTATATCGTGCACTTCTGGTATGTTCTGTGGCGGTCCTGGTCTATTCAGATATAGAACACTATCAGGCTTGGAGAGAGGTTTATAATTGCCGGTTTTGTATAAATGAACTGTAAACACGGCCTTTATTACTTAATAATTAGGAAACTTATTCAAATCTCCCTAAATGAAATACCCGAGAGACATTCTCTCTTAGATTACAACATATTTTAGGTGGTGGTCTTCTACTCATTACCTGGACAGCGTCCTACCCATCCGAGCCACGACACACTACACCCATGCCCTGGGCCGTATAAGATATGATTTATCCTTTTAGTATGCTGGTGGGATCATTGAGGCGCACCCCGAGATCTGTTAATTATCACTTGATCCCACGTCCAAATACCCTCTAAGTGTTCTTTCAACTAAAATTGATTGGTCAGATTTTGAAGAATTTTTAAATTAAAGTTAATCCCCGGGTTGTTATTTTATTATAATTTTTCACTTATTACCTTTATGATCTCTTTTTTGCCTTTTTTTTTATTTGGTTTTCAAAATGGTAGTATATGACATAAGCATACAGATCTAAATATCTTACCTTTTTTTAAAGATGTTATTTAGAGCACCATTATCTTTTTTAGACACTGCCCTTCACACACTGTTTTCCCACGAATTCTGACCACCAAATTTGTTTTTACACGACCCTGCATTTATGTTTTTATTGAGAAAAGAGTTTCTTTCCTAATGATGAGATCAGTAAAATATTCGACC